ATTCAAGTCCAAAACACTCAAAATCTCACACAATGCAACAATATGACTTGAATCCAAGAAATAGCCAAGAAATGGCATACAAGAACCCTAATAACAAGCTCTAGATATGCATTACCACAAGACAATTCATCAAACCTCACATTTCATAACAAAAATCACAAGTAGAAGTCAAGAAATCATCATATAGGTAAGAAAATAGATTTTGTAAAGCATGGGTTACCTTTGTAGCCTAAACCTTCACTTTTCACACCCTTAAAAGCTTCTCCTAAAGCTCTCCTTCAACTTCAACTTCATGAACACACCAAAAGACAACAAAGATTCTATCTTTAGAAAAAGTCACCTAAAAAGGTACTAAAAACACCAAGAGATCAAAGATCTTACCCTCCCCTATGCTCAAGGTTAAGAAATTATGAATCTTGGAGACCAACTTGTAGAATCTAGGATTGCCCAAAACTTGGCTTGAAGAAGAAGCTATCAAGTTTCTAGAGAGAAGGTGGAGCTTTTGTGTTTAGGGTGTTAGGGAAATGAAATGAAGGATGATGCTAGGTTAGCTTGGGGCACAAACATAAGGTAAGAAGTCTTCTTTGCCCTTGCTAAAGTTGGAAGAGTAAGGAGACAATGGAACAACTCATAAGGCATAGAGTACAACTCTTTGACTTGGATTGACTAGTCAATTTCTAGTCCTCCGACTATTGAATTTTCCGGATTTTAGGAATAAATTACCAATTAAACTAGGATTAATTATCTAATTAATCCTTAAATAGATTTTAGATTTACGGGGTGTCACATTCCCCTTATGAGAATTGGGGACGAGCTTGGCCTTAATGAAATCCAGAATGGCCCAGTCAGCTGGCTTGAAATATTTGTAGTCCATGTAGGAGGCTACACCTCCCCTAATGTTCCACTCGGCCGCCGGGTGGAAATATTGTGCAATTCGGTTCAACCATCCTGGCTCCATGCTGCCACGACCCACGTCACCATGAAAGTAATCTTGGTTCTCATAATTAGTGGTACCGTAGTACCCATTAATGGCCTCCTCAGAAAAATCGACCTGTATGCCTCGGACAGTGCAAATATTGTCCTGGAGGCTGTCCTTGACATTAGCATAGAATTCTCGAACGAGGGTGCTAAATGCCTGCCCTGGCTGAGCAAGAAACTGGGGTCCCCAATTCCATGCCACCGGGACCGCTATATGTGCTCCTCTTTCTTGCCGGACCGGCCTTGCAGACATCAGCCGGTGGTACCGTTCTGCTGCCGCGAGGGTAGCAAAACGTTCATACACCGGGTTTTGAGATTGTGCTCGGGCTTGGGAGGACTTGGCCCTTGGCCGTTTGGAGGGTGCACGGGCCTTAGGTGCCATAAGGAATGCCTACAAAACACAAGATGAAAGCAATATTTTCTTGAGGTAAGACAGAGGGCTTACAACTAGGATATAACAATTTAGCCAAAATTCTCAAACTATTCAAAATAGGACAAGAAACGCATTTGGGCATTTTATCAAACATCTTGTGGGCATGAATTTTGACAATAGGTTTATGCAAAATTGACATATCACATTCATCCCACAAGTTCACCACACAACCAAATCAAGGATACCAATCATCAATAGCAAGTTCTACATAAAAACTGGACAAAAATCATGAATTAAAACCACACAACAAAGCTAAGTAAAATTTAAACAAATAACTAATAAAACTTAAGAAACTAGAATCAAAACTTGAATGGTTTGCATCATAATTAAGCAAGAACAACACTTATAGCAACAATCAATCAAGAACAATCAACACTAAGCAACCTAGCATTCAAAATTTCAACAATTGGGGAAAAATTCGTGGGTAGGGTTTCTACCCAAAAATAGAGCAATTTGCACCACCAATTCAAGAAATTAAAAGCAAAGAAGAGTATTGATGTTACCTTGTAGCTTTAGGGGTTGATTGGAATGAAGAAATTGAAGCAATTCAGACTTGGGAAGTTTAGGGCGAGAGAGCTGCGAGAGAGAGATGTGAGAAATTTGTGAAATTTGGAAAAAAGACTTTCTGTTCACGTTTTTTAAAGACCTGATTTTCGACGTCTCGACGCGTCGAAAAACTCCAGAATGGAATTTTTTGAGACGTCTTGAGCTCGACGTGTCGAAAAATTCCAATAACTTTTTTTTTTCGAATTGTCATGGGCTCGATGCGTCGAAAATTTCCAGAAACTTTTCCCTCGAAATGGCCTGGGCTCGACGCGTTTAAAAATTCCAGTGTGGAACTTTTCGCCCAGGTCGATTTTTAGCCTTATTCCTTAGCCAAAAACAACTCCTACATCACCAATTAACGCCCGAAACCAAAAACCACTCAAGTTTAGCAAAACAAAAACCGAAACGAAATAAAAAGCAAGAATAAAAACGCCAGAAATTAAAGGATAACATGGGGTACCTCCCATGAAGCGCTAAATTTAACGTTGCTAGCTCGACTGTACCTCCTTTTTCAGGTTTCACATGTAGGTCGGGAGGTTAAGGTGATGTATCACATTGGCCTTAACTTCCTCGGTTGAATAATAGTGCTTCAACCTTTGTCCATTAACTGTGAATTCCTCTTTTGTTCCTTGAATCACCACGACACCTGATGGATGCACCTTAATCACTTTGTATGCCCCTGTCCATTTAGATTTCAATTTTCCCGGGAATAATTTCATCCTTGAATTGAATAAAAGGACATCTTCTCCCGGGACAAATTCTCTTCTTAAAATGTGCTTGTCATTCCACCTCTTGGTCTTCTCCTTGTAGTTTTTTGCATTGTCATAGGCCTCGAGCCTAAATTCCTCAAGTTCATTTAGTTGAAGTAGCATCTTCTCACCTGCAAGTTGCAAATCCATGTTGAGCGTCGTGACTGCCCAATGAGTTTTGTGTTCCAACTCCACAGGTAAATGACATGGCTTCCCATAAACAAGTCTGAATGGTGAAGTTCCAATAGGATTTTTGTAGGCAGTCCTGTATGCCCATAGTGCATCATCAAGCTTTGTGGACCAATCTTTCCGGGACGGGTTGACTACCTTCTCAAGAATAGACTTGATTTCTTTGTTTGACAATTCTACTTGACCATTGGCTTGGGGATAGTAGGGAGTAGAGAGTCGGTGATGAACTCCATACTTCTCAAGGACTTTCTCCAACGCTTTGTTGCAAAAATGTGTCCCATTATCAGTGATCAAAGCCTTTGGTACCCCAAATCTTGCAAAAATATTCTTCTTGATGAAATTGATGACAACCTTGGAGTCATTAGTAGGACAAGCAATGTCTTCAACCCATTTAGAAACATAATCCACTGCCACTAGGATGTATTCATTACCAAAAGACTTGGGGAACAGACCCATGAAATCCAAACCCCAAACATCAAATAGCTCCACTTCAAGAATGCTTTGTTGAGGCATCTCGTTTCTCCTTCCCACTGTACCTACTCTTTGACATTTATCACAATGAGCCACGAAAGAGTGTGCATCCTTGAATATACTGGGCCAATAAAATCCTGACTGTAGAACTTTTGCTGCAATTCTAGAAGCTCCAAAATGTCCCCCATAAGGTGATGAGTGGCAATGGGTTAGGATACTTTCTGTCTCATCTTCGGGCAAGCATCTTCTTAATATTCCATTTGCACACCTCTTGTACAAAAACGAATCATCCCAAAGATAGAATTTGGCATCAGTTTGTATTTTCTTCTTCAGTGATCTAGAAGCATTTGGTGGGAATTGTTGGCAAACCACATAGTTCACCAAATCTGAATACCAGGGTATAAAAACACAGAGAGCCATCAGTTGCTCTCCCACAAAATAATCAGCAATTGGAATCTTTTCTTCTACAGCCACTTCGTTATGATTCTTTAATCGGGACAAGTGATCAGCTACAAGATTTTCGGTCCCCTTTTTGTCTATGAATTCCAAGTCAAACTCTTGAAGTAGAAGAGTCCACCTCATCAGTCTTGGCTTGGATTCCTTTTTGCTCATTAAGTACTTCAATGCTGAGTGATCAGTATGGACAATCACTCTGTTTCCAGCCAGATAAGACTGGAACTTATCAATAGCAAAAACTACAGCTAGCATCTCCTTCTCTGTTGTGGTGTAGTTAACCTGAGCATCATCAAGGGTACAGCTTGCATAGTAAATTGGGTGTAGGCACTTGCCCTTCTTTTGACAAAGGACGACCCCTACAGCAAAATCACTACCATCGCACATAATCTCAAATGGTAAGCTCCAATTTGGAGGAGACATTATGGGAGCTGTTGTCAATGCCGTCTTTAACCTGGAAAAAACTTCTAGACAAGAATCACCAAAAACAAAGTTAACATCTTTTAAAAGCAATTGAGTTAGAGGTTTAGAGATCTTTGAAAAGTCTTTAATAAATCTCATGTAGAACCCTGCATGACCAAAAAAACTCCTTATTCCCTTTACTGAGACAGGCGGTGGCAATTTCTCAATGACTTCCACCTTGGCTGGGTCAACCTCAATACCTTTCTGTGAAATCTTGTGTCCAAGAACAATCCCTTGTTGTACCATAAAGTGACATTTTTCCTAATTTAAAACAAGGTTGGCTTCTTGGCACTTTCCCAATGCTTCATCCAAATTATCAAGACAATCATCAAAAGAAGAACCACATACAGAAAAGTCATCCATGAATACTTACATAGTCTTCTCAACTAAATCAGAAAAAATGGCTAACATGCACCTTTGAAATGTAGTTGGTGCATTACATAACCCAAATGACATCCTTCGATATGCAAAGGTACCATAGGGGCATGTAAAAGTAGTCATCTCTTGGTCATCGGGATGAATAGGGATCTGAAAGAACCCAGAAAAACCATCAAGAAAACAAAAGTAGGAATATTTAACCATCCTTTCAATCAACTGATCAACAAACGGGAGAGGAAAATGATCCTTCCAGGTGGCATTGTTCAACTTTCTGTAATCCGTACACATCCTCCACCCAGTAACTAACCTGGTAGGAATGAGCTCATTCTTCTCATTACGGACTACAGTTGCCCAGCCTTCAACAATTTTAGGATCTCTTTCTTCACAACCTCCTGCATCATAGGGTTCAACCTACGTTGGTGCTCAACACTGAATCTATGCCCATCCTCTAAATTAATCTTGTGCATGCAGTAAGAGACACTAATTCCAACAATATCATCAATAGTGTACCCAATGATTTTCTTATATTTTCTCAACACATTTAATAATTTCTCTGTTTCATCATTTTTCAAATGAGCACTCACAATCACTGGGTAGGTAGAATTTGGACCAAGATAATCATACCTCAAATTTGTTGGTAAATGTTTTAATTCTACCTGTGGTGGTTCCTTTTCCTCAAGGCTACAGGCAATAGACATTAGTGGTGTTTCCTGTGATTCTCCACCATTCGTGTCATCATCCAAGTGTCTATTCTCTGTAGTGTCTTCACTTTCGAGTCGTAAAGGATCATTAGAGATCCATTTACCTCTCTCATAAGCTGCAACACATGAGTCAATTTCATCTACATAGAAACAAGCATCAAGACAAGAAGATTTGTTAGCCAATTCAAAAACATTAAATTCAACTTTATCATCTCCAATTTCAAGTACTAAGGTTCCCTGTTTGACATTAATCATAGCTCCAGCTGTTGCCAAGAACGGTCTCCCAAGGATAATAGGAACTTTAGCATCTTCTTCCATCTCTAACACCACGAAGTCTCCTAGAATGTAGAATTTGTCAATCTTTACTGGCACGTCTTCAAGGATTCCGATAGGATACTTCACTGATCTGTCTGCCAACTGAAGAGTCATGGATGTAGGTTTTGGCTCTCCAAGTTGTAGCTTTTGGCACAAAGAATAGGGCATCAAACTCACACTTGCCCCTAAATCACATAAGGCTCTTTGAACAAGTGATCCTCCAATAACACAAGGGATAGAGAAACTCCCAGGATCCCTAAGCTTTGGAAGAAGCTTGTTTTGAATTAAGGCACTACATTCTTCACTGACTGCTACTGTTTCACGATCCTCAGATCTCCTCTTGTTGGATAAAATTTCTTTTAAAAACTTAGCATACGAAGGAATCTCAGTGACTGCATCAAGCAAAGGAATGGAGATATCCAATTGCTTGATCAAACTGAAAAATTTTGCCATTATTTCCTCTTCCCTGGATTTCTTGAATTTTTGTGGGAAGGGTAGAGGTGGTGTATGTGTAACACCCCTAAATTTTAAAACTTTTAAAGCCTATAAAATAAAGGCAACTCTATTATTAAATCCCTAACAGAGCATAAACTAAACATAAATGTCAGGGTGCTATGGCACATCTGAGCTAGAGAACTCAGATGCACAGGCTAAACTATCCAATCATAAGAAATTCCCAATTCAATATCTAGTACAATCTCAAGGCACGCAGGCCGCTAATAGAACTATTCTAGCTATGTCCACAGGTCCGACTAGCGCGCTCCGGAGCTACTCATCTGTGCCTGAAAGTCAAATATATCTGTTCAGCGAATAATGCTGGTAACCCACTCCAACGCGTTAAATACAATATAGGTAGATATATATATGGAAAATCATTTTGAAGCCGGAATACATATATACTTATGAAACTCTAATTTAAAACCGAGGATAGACTCAATCAAGCAAAGGTAGGCACATTCAATATAATTAATCACACACATAAAGATTCTAGCATGTTCCCTAAGGTCACAAGACTATTCCATATCAATCATATCAGTATTCAATCAACCATAATAAATCACGTTTACACATTTGGTGGTGCCGCGGGACCCTTCACGTGCCCATACACGAAGTGCCAGTGCATATAGCTCTGGCATGGCCCTGAAGCACCCTGCCTGTACCGCAGCACAAAGAGATTGATAGCAACCAATCGATGAACCGCAGCTCATTATATCATAACGTTTGATCGCAACCAAACGGTGGACTGCATCCCGATGATTATGTATATCTGATCGCAACCAGATTATGGACCGCAGCCCTACATATATATAAATAACAGCCGATGGTTCTCATAACACATAACACATAAGCCAAGCACATGCAACCCACATTAACACATAAGGAGGGGGAAATCATTGGGGAACACTTATCTTTATATAACTTATGCGTGGCCAACCACATTAAACTACTCGAGACACGCCTAAGGGGTCATGCACCTTCCTCCTAGGCCAATGAGATACCAATTCGACTAGCATGCAATACACAAGACTCTTTTATCCTAAGAATGGTACCCGATATCTCAAACTAGACTCATATACGACAAACGGGGTACAACGGGACACAACGGGACACGGGGGAAAACATCGTGGCTCACACCAAAATTCCAGCGGGTGGAGGGCCACCCGCCGGCGGCGAGTCACAAGGCAGCGGGTGCCCGGCGGGCAATCGCCTACCCGCCGGCTGCCCGCTAGCAAGAGGCGTTGGGCAGCGGGTACCCCTGCCCCCACCTACCCCCCACTGACTCCTATGTAATAAATTGGTCACGGGATCCCTCGTGGAACCCGAAACCATGTCCAGACACATTTAAACACAAACGACGACACCACGTAGTCAAGTAACGGATTAAAACCAAGAACCACACCAAATACATTCTAACATGACTCCTAAACATGCCAAGACTCAACACCCGAACATACAAAGCCCCACCCAAACATACCAGGAATAACACAATACGAAATCCACGTTTTAACCCTACGGCTCTAGTCATAATTAAAAGCACAAGATCGTTCATATAATTTTATCATAAAATCAAGAACATCAAGATTACCACATAAGCATCAAGATCAACAAATAAACATAAAGATTATCTCATAAACATCATATCAATCTCAGGCAAAGCCTTATTAAGATGCAAGCACAAAATCATATATCAAAGGAGCCAAGGAAAGAAGATTATAGCAAGAAAAATAGGTTTTGTTGAGACATGGGTTACCTCTTAGCCTTAATTAATCCTCTCTTGGCTATTAAGGTTCTTCTCTAAGATTTCCATCCGATTGATCTCCCTAGGCTTGGTGGTGGGGAATTTCCCGGGAATATTTTCGTGTAATATAACTATGGGTGGTAAGGGTTCTAATTGCTTTCTAATCCCCTATTTATAGAATCAGGAATCCTAGTCATAATCTGAATAGTAAAGGCCTACTTTCTTCATTCTTAATAGATATATAGGTCTAGGATTCCTAATTAGAATATGACTAGTAAAAGGTTTACTCTCTTTATTCCTAATAGGCTTAAGACTCTAGTTTAGGCAAGGGTCCACGATCCATGATGGACCATATTAATTAATTAAAGGGAATCCTAACCAAATTAAATCCTTTTTAATTATCATTAACGGAATTAATTAAATAATTAATCCGGGATTGAAGGCCGTAACACGGGGTGTTACAGTATGCTTCTTCACGGGCTCAATTTCCTGTATCTCTTCTTCCTTGTCTTGGGCAACAACATCTTCATTCACTTTCTCATTCTCACCTCCCAGGTTCCTCTTGACAAATTGTTCACTATTAGGATACGGTGGATCCAGTAATTGCTTTCCACTCCTAGTAGTGATGGCATTCATGTGCTCTCTTGGATTTTCGGTGGAAGCAAGCAACTTCCCCGTGACTTTAGTACTGGAGGTAGAAGCTTGATTTGCTAACTGATTTTCTAACATCTTGTGGTGGGCACTCATCTGATCCATCCTCTCTGTAAGTTGTACATGACCTTTAAGCAATTTTTCCAACAATGCTTCCAAATTTGACGAGGCCGGTGCTTCCACATTAGGCAAAGCTTGCTTAGGTTGATTTACTGGAGCTTGATATCCTTGGTTTTGCCTGAACTGTTGTGGAGGAACCCCTCTAAAATTTTGTTGTCCCTGAAATCCTGGTGGTTGAACTCTATTACCCAAGTGTTGGGGATTAGCTGCCCCAGCTGGATTACCCCAAGAGAAACCAGCATGGTTCCTTGGTGCATTTGGGTTATAGGTTCCTTGTTGTTGAAATGCCAGTTGTATCCTACCATACCCTATCACATCAACTTGTTCCATTGTGGCTTGAGAATCAACACTGAGACACTCCTCTGAATTGTGCTCTCCTCCACAAAGCTCACACATCATTATAGGTCTCGGAGGAGTAGAAGATGTAGAAACATTACCTGGAGCTTGATTCTTAATAGCGATCTGAGCCAACTGTTGAACTAAAGTAGTCACATTATCAAACTTAGCTGATAGAGCTAATATCTGATCAACATCATTCACACCCCCCCCCCCCACCAATTTCTGGGAAGATCTCTCTGAGTACCAAGTTGTTCCATTCATTGCAACATTTTCCAATAGTTCTTCAGCTTGATCTGGCTCTAGCACTGTAAATGATCCCCCCGATGAAGCATCAACCAGGATTTTTGAATTATCCAATAATCCCTCATAGAAAGCTATCATTAAGTCTCAACTCTGAATACCGTGATGTGGGCATTGTCTCTTCATCTCTTTGAATCTCTCCCATGACTCTGCCAAAGACTCACCAGCCAACTGTCTGAAATTCTGAATTGATCTCCTCATTTTCTGAGTCTTGGATATGGGATAAAATCTCTTAAGAAACTCTCTGTGCAACTGGTCCCAAGTTTCAAAATAATTCATCGGATAAGAGGCAAGCCAACTGTTAGCTTTATCCCTTACAGTGAATGGAAAGAGGCGAAGCTTGATAGCATTGCTCGGGTCTCCATTAATTTTGAAAGTACTACAGATCCTCAGAAATCTTGCAATGTGAGCATTAGGGTCTTTGGTTGGTGACCCACCAAAAGGATCTGAAGCAGCCATCTGAATAATAGCCGGTTTGATTTCAAAATTATTAGCATCAACCCCTGGTACATTGATACTTTCATGTTCTGCTACATCTGGAGCAATGTAGTCTAAAATGGGCCTCCCAATGCGTAGTGGTTGATTAACTCCCTCTTCATTGAGAGCCAAATTGTTCTGATTTCCTCCATGCGCCATCCTGACCTGTTTTCTTAAGTGCTTGGCCTGCTTTTCAATCTCCAAGTTAAAAAGTTCTAATCCTTCGTTCCCCGAAGAGCGAGTTCGCATACAACACCAAGACCGCTGATAACAGAAACACAGCACAACACAAGAAACTAGTTATCAGTTAGCTAAAATAAAAATAAGTAAAAAGAAAATAGACTAGACTCCTAAAGTAAGACTTTCGCTAATGTCAGTACGTAACGCCACCTCCCCGGCAATGGCGCCAATTTGATTGCGGTGATTTGGGGCAAACAAATAATACCCGAAGTATTCGGGTTATTGAACCACAGGGAGATGGGGTACTACGCACTAGCTACTTGGTTACTCATATGGAACTAGTCTGAACGAAACTTGAAGATTGGATAATTGTAGAAAATAAAAGGCAGAATAAACTAATTAACAAGGTGTTGTAAGCAATAGAGCAAAGCAGGATTCTTGGGATCACAATATTTAATCATCTAGTGTCAATTAAAGTTTGTAATATTTAGTTTGGAATTAAGACTTGTGTGAGAATGCAGAGTAGAATAGAATTACTCTCGTAATCTCTATCCCTAGTGAATTTCCACTCTCGTGGCTTAAACACTCAATAAGAACAAAGAATAGCATTCAATATTCCCAATTACTACCATCTCCCGATGCGCAACAATCTAGAATAAATTTTCCAACCAAGTTGCCCTTTCTCAAGGTGCAACAGTCAAGTGCAATCGTGTGTGCCCTAATTTATGCCTAACTCTCGTTATGACATGAACATGGCTATGAAGCAAGTAATTAGGCCTTTAATTACTAACAAAAACATATTAAAACAAGATTGCAACACAAATCATAAAACCAAACATAAATATATTAAGGAATTAAAGAACTAGACACATAGGTTCATAAACAAATTCACCCAAAAATTCCTAAGTGTTTAGCCACTCATGGCCATAATAGCAATCAATACAATCTTGAATGATAAACAAAAAACAATAAGAATAAGAGAAAGAGTGAAAGAATTCTCCCGAATCTTCCTAGTCAATCCTCTACTCCAAAGCTAATTGTAAATCTTCAAATTGTTCCTCTTGGTTCTTGCTCTTCGTTGCCTTCCAATACCAAAATCTGGGAAAAAAGAGAACCCTAGGGTTGATGGAATATGATCCTTTTATAT